GACCATATAGCAACCATGGTACAAACAACTATTCCGGTAACTATGGCTCAAATGACCATCTAAAGACTGATGTAAATGAACCCATAATAATCATCGATAAAATGTGTCAATGAAATAACTATAATTCGGGTAGTGGTGTAAAACGGCTTACAAAAGCATTTACTTAGTCAGAGTCAGACCAAATGAGCAGTATGGATTTAAAGAAATCGTTTAAATTATTCATTATTGTAGGATTGATTGTGCAATGTTGTATCAATGAATATCTAATTTATTAATAGTTTAGAATTAATGCGCGAATTTAAGCATAAAATATTGATTAATAAAACTCAAATTTTATGAATAATATAATTCATATTTTTGTACGTACAAATAGCGCCAATATAATTACAAAAAAAATCGTATTCTTGTCTAATCTTATTGAGCGCTATTTATATTTATAAAAGCAAAAAAAAATAAAACAAAAACGACAAAAAAAATTAAATTTGTAAAATGCATTATCTTTACTTAGAGTGAGAATTCTCCGAATTAAGTTTTCTGCTAGCCTAAGATATACTGGTTATATTATCAATTTTGCGTATTACTTTTTTAATGTAGCTTTTTATGCTATTGCATCCGTACATGTATTCTATCAGTCTAGGGCTAAGTGAATCGCTTGACGATGAACGTTACTTGTACACTACTTATGTCGAAAAATGCTAATTACAGTCCCCTGAGTTTCGGTAGTCGTCCAGTCCTGATAAGATCCTTTCTTTGCATTGTAATACTTAGAACCGCACTATTTAGACTAAGTAGAATCTACATTAAAAGTCTTCCATTAGATGAGAGAGCTATAAAAGTTTCGATTTAAATCCGTATTGACTATTTTCTTTGAAAATATATAACTCAATGGGATCTCATTATCAATTTGTCTTGACAAACATGAGTATTCAATGACTCGATTTATATCTTCTGAAATTGTCAATTTCTTAATGAGAATCGAAGTATAAGGCTTTACTGAATCATCCAAGTTAAAGATTGCAATTATACACAAGTGAGATCTAGCTCGTCAAAGTGAATAATGAAGGCGGCTTATCTATGATCGATAGTTTAAAACAATCTATACATGGTGTTTTTGTGCTCAGTTTTTAGAATCATCACAAAGATTAGTAAAAATTAAAAAAACAAACAAACATGAAAACATCGATCGCTGGTTAAATGTTTACATTATTCTGTCTATACAGATACTCTTTCAGGAATTGTAACAAGTATTTGAGGTTAATGCACACAATAAATCCGTTCACTCTTAATTTCTATATTTTTTCATGAAGCTTTTCTACAAGAAATATTGCAATGATAGGTAAAAACAAGCAGTAGGTATGAATGAAATATTTATGGATTTTGTTCCATATTTTTCATTAATAAGATAAGCTGTTCAAACGTCAATAAACTATTCATTTTATTTGTTGTTCATTTAACTTCAATTATCCTAGTAGGGTGGGATCAGCAGTGATGATTTTCAAAAAGAAAGACTAACGCAATTTAATCAGTAAGATGTGTTCAATCTTGACAAAAATTAATCTAGTAATAATTTTGAACTCGATCGACGAATGTTACTATATAGTAATGATAAATTCTATTTAGATAAATATATGTTTGCATATGATAATGACGTCTATGATAAATTAAATCAAAATAAATACATTTTTAAAGACGATGAAAGTAATATGAATTTCGATTGATAGAACAGAACAATTCTCTACGTTGACAAAGCGTCGATTAATAAACATGTTTTTGATGAAGAACAAAATATTCACAATTAGATCAAACTGAATCTTACACATACAGATCATGATGAGTCTTCATCATATAACATCATGCAGTTAAATCAAGTCAGAAAAAATCAATATATAGCATTCCATATTATCAAAGTTTGATATATTGAGTGTCGTCGATATCGTTAAGAGACAATAATGTTTATACACAATATACATGAGAACATAGTTTAAAAAAAAACACGTTGCTAGATCAATAAATCTTGAAGCATACTGTTTTGTATTAGAGATAGATTTTTCAAATAATATCAGAATTATTTTAGATTGTTTAGAAGTCAATGTCATTGAATTTAATCAATTAGGAAATCATTAAAAATCATGAGAACTATCATATGTTCAAGCGAATCAAATAAATCATCGGTTTATTGAAGTATTCAAACTACAAGAAATTTTATAATTTTGACGAAGTAAAATCCAAGAACAGCAGTATGCCGAGTACTCAATCAATCTCACAATAGTTATTTGATTCGAAATTACAAGTATTTCATTCAAAATAAAACTACTGATTCAGTTGCATAGATTACATGATGGACTTTTATATATGAAACGCAATCATGATGAGTGCTATACCTTATCAATTGTGAACATGATTCGATGTTTTGAGGATTTCTAATACATATTATCTCAGTCTCGATAATTATTATCATTATCTTGCATAGATGTCGTTACCTATTTGATGATTTTTTTTTTCTTAAAATATATCAATATGAAAAAGTTATAAAAAATTAATGAATTGCAAAGTGTACTAAAATTTTCTGTTTTTTTTTCGCTTAATCTATGCTGAAAAATATTTAAATAAACAACTAATAATTCAATTGACTTTTTTTTTCTTCTCTTACTTTTCTCTATTATGATTTCGATCTGATGAGTCATCTAAATCAACAGATGAATGAAACCTTTAGCATGTATGCAACGTAATTTTCTATTTGAACAGATGAACATATTTTTTAGAAAATGAGCCATTCTCTACGAATTTTAAAAATAAAATGAGTGGTATTAAACGTACTTTTCTTGCTGAAGAATGTTCAGCAACAACAAATGATAATAATTCATCATTAACAGATAATAATATTCAATCATCCAGTCCAAGTGATTCTCCACAATCAAAAAAGCTTCGACGTTCATCATCACATCAGACGACAGAATCTGAAAATGATGATGAACCTCAAGAAGATCAATATGAACAAGAAAATGGCATAACAAATGGTAAAAATGATTCATTTATGTTATAAATAATATTAAAAAAAGAATTATTTATCTTATTTAAGGTCATTCACCAGTTCAATCAGAAAGATCCGAAGAGGAAGAAGAAGATGATGAAGATGAAGATGATGACGATGATGATGAAGCAACTGAAGCTGAACCAGAATGTTTTTCAGATGATTCAATTGTTCATGTCAGTTTTGATAGTGGAAAAGATGATAGTAAATAAATAATTATGAAAATAAAAATGAAAAATCTAATGAATTTTATATTTTTCTTTCTCTTCTTTATAGTATTTCGTTATGATGGTTCGATTCGTTTTCATATTATTGCACCATCACGACCACAATCTGGACAATTAACAAGTGATCAATCAATAATACGTACATTTATATGGACTTTATTAGCATTTTCAAAACCAAATTATGATAGTTGTCATAATGATGGTGGAACATTTAGTCTTTTTCTTAAATGTGAACCTGAAAAACTTTCACCGGGTTGGTCGATATTTGCTAAAGCTGAATTAACTCTTTTACATGCAATTGATTCAAATAAAAATTTTGTGAAAAGTATTTTGTTTATTTTTATTTTCTATTTTATTTTCTGTTTGTTTATTATAGAAATCAATCATTTATTTAATGCACGTTCAATTGATTGGGGTTTTCATCAATTTAAATCATTAAAAGTATGTTTTTTTTTAAACAAGAACATTATTTATTATTCTTCTTTTTCTTAACTATTTTGCCAATATTTAGGAAATCTATAGTGAATTTATTCATTGGCCAGATAATACAATTCGAATTGAAGCAAAAATTCATGCTGATGCTCCACGTAATGTTGAGTAAGTTAAAGATTGTTTTGTTTTTTTTTTTTGTTTTCGTTTACAATATAATATAAAAATATTGAATTTTAGATGGGATTCAAAAGGACAAACTGGTTTTGTTGGTTTGAGAAATATTGGTGCAACTTGTTATATGAATTCATTTTTACAAACAATCTATTTTACAAAAAAACTACGGCGGGTTTGTTGAAATTTCTTAAAATTTAGATTATTATTCAATCATTCGATAAAAAAAAAAAATACATTATTAACTTGAGAAATCGAACTGATCAATTGAGTACTCAATTGAGGCTTTATGATTGTAAGTTATTGTGAATTCTTTCAGAAGGCTTGAGTTCAAAGTTTAATTTTTTTATCAAGTCTTTGTCTTTCATTCATTCATTCGTAATAAGAATACATTGAATTGTAATTATAAACTTTCAGAACAATCATGAAGTTTTTATTTAATCGTTGTTTGATTAAATATTCAACGGATAAATATGCTACTTTATATGACCATAGCGAATAATATGTTTCTATTTAGGCTGTATATGCTTTGCCAACCGATAGTGATGATCAATTACATAGCATTCCACTTGCTTTACAAAAACTTTTTTATGATCTTCAATTCACTGATCGACCAGTCAGTACAAAAAAGTTGACACGTTCATTTGGGTATATTCTCGTTGTTTTTTTTTAAACTTGTCAAACAGAAAAAAATTTTTTTTTTGTCTTTCTTGTTTTTAGATGGGACAAACCAGATGAATTTTGTCAACATGATATTCAAGAATTTTGTCGAGTGGTAAGTAGAAGAGAAATGTTGAATCTTTTTCATAGTTATATATTGTTATTATTTGTTTTTAGTTACTTGATAAATTAGAATCAAAAATGGAAGGTACAACTATGGAAGGTGTTATTCCATCGCTTTTTCAAGGTCAATATGTGGTAAGTTATTATTTGATTTGTAAGAAAAATGAATCAATATTTGATGTAAAGTTCATTTAATTGAAATTAATCTGATCGAATAATTCTCTGATATTTGTATTTAAAAAAAAGAAATCGTTATACTCTCGAGTATATATACTACTGACTGTTGAAATTATTTATTGTATTATTCAAGGCCTAGTGAGTTAATCCTTTTAGGGCAGAAATTGTTTTTCAATCAATTTATTCCCTTTGGCTCATAATAATAACATAAAACAAATTTTATAACAGGAAGTAAGAGCAAAAAGGTACCCTAGTAAATTTAATAAATTCAGGATACTGAAAATAGTCTCTGTTCACAAATATTCTAAATACTAGACTTTAAAACTAACATGTCTTACGACGAATTGTCTTAGCATTACGTAATCTATGATCATTATGGCTGTTTTTCTTTTTTTTTAATATTTATTCAGCAATATGTTCGATGTACAAAAGTTGATCATGAATCTCGTGTAAAACAAACATTTTATGATGTTCCATTACAAGTACGAAATAATGCTAATAGTAAGTAATCGATATAATTATTCTAAATCATTAATTTATTATTGTTTTCCTTTTTTTTTTTTTTATAAATTAGTTACGGAAAGTTTTCGAGATTTTTGTAAAAGTGAAATTTTAACAGGTGAAAATTTATATGATGCTGGTAATATTCATGGTTTACAGGTTTGTTTAAAATAAAATAAAGAACTTATTTTTCTATTATTTAAATAAATTTAGGAAGCAGAAAAAGGTGTTAAATTTCAAAAGTTTCCACCTGTACTATGTCTTCATTTATTACGTTTTGAATATGATTATAATTTATCTCAACATCGAAAAATAAATGATAGTTATTCATTTGATTATCATCTTGATTTAAGTGAATTTCTTGAAAATCCTGATTGTTCATCATGTTCATATAAATTATTATCAATATTAGTACATAGTGGAGATAATTCAAGTGGTCATTATGTTTCATTTATTAATCCAGCATTAGATGGACAAGTAAGATAGAAACTATTATTTTATTTCGAATATATATATATATTGAAACTATTATATTTAGTGGTTTAAATTTGATGATGATGTTGTTGCACGAGTAGCAGCAAGTGATGCTATGGAAAGAAATTTTGGTGGTACACAAGATGATGATGGTAGTATGTATAATACATCAGCTTATATGCTTGTTTATATACGTGAAGATTGTCAAAGTAAATTGAAAATTTTTCATTGTAAAAAAAGAAAATATCTGTTGTACTTTTTTTTTTAAATAGAAGATGTTTTATGTGATATTAATCAAGAAGATATTCCTCAAAATTTAATAGCAAGATTTGATTATGATAAGTAAGAAAATGATTTTTGTATTAAATAGATTTTATATTTTAATTATTTAAGAAAATATCTTTTAAAACGTCGTCAAGATATGATGGATAATGATGGTTTTGTTGATATACAAATTATATTAACAGATGATTTTCATATTCAACAAACAATTTGTTTAACTGATCTGATTTGTGAAAAGTAAAACAAAAAAAAAAAAATTATTTTGAAATAAAAAGAAAAAAAATTTTTTCACAATCATTTTGTTTTTTTAGTCCTGTTGAATTATTACAAAATAAACGTTGTTTACGATATATACAAGCTCAGCATGGAGAAATATTTCGTGTATTTGCCAGACGCTTAGCATATGCATTGGTATGATTTATATATGTTTATTGAGAAATAACAGTAAAGATCGTAGGATTTATAACAACAATTTCTTTTGATTGACATTTGACAATTTGTTTGAAAGAAATAATATGAACTAAAGGCAGTTTTGTATTCATTTTATCAAGCAAAAAAAAAGATTTTTTACGTTAAAACAGCTATGTTCAATTTATGAACATCTCCAATGTATCTGTCACTATTGCTATATGCTTTTACGCACTATGGAGAAGAGATGAGATCGGTTCGGTTTCATTCTTAACAAAATGTGAGACATGATAATGATACTTTTGTCAATAAGATCTTGAGTATGTCTGTCAATATCTGAGTAGTGTCACATATCCAAGATTTTGGAGATGCCACCACATCTTCCGTGGGAGATGCCGCGTCTCCAGCGGGAGACGCGACACCCACACTCGAGAGATGTGGTCATTCACCACTGGAGATGTAAGATCTCCTTTAGAGATGCGCATCCCCCACACCCACACCCGCATCTCTCGCGCGAGATGCGGCATCTCCCGCGGAAGACGTGGTGGCATCTCCAAAATCTTGGATATGTGACACTGCTGGATAAAGTTTCAGTAAAATGACACAACATTTGTAGGAAGGTTTAAAGTGTCCATATCCTATGAACGATGTTTTCAATAGCAGGGCTTATCTATCTTTTTCTGATTATTTTTTTTAGTTGAAGTAGGATTATTTTCAATGCGAATCATAAATATCCTATAGTCTATCGTCATCAAATTGAAAAGACTATGAGTAGTTTTAGTTTTTAATTATAACGCTAAAACTAAGTCTGCTTATTCTAAGTTATTATACAACATTCGAAAAGAAACAAATTTTTTTTTTTTTTTTTGAAAAAGAAATTCAATTAAATTTTCTCATTGTTATAGGGAGTAAATCTTGATGAAGATATTCGAATATGGATTGTTCATACACATGAAATTCATGTTAATCATCATTATCATTCTCAATCTCTTCTTACATCTGCACTTGTTTTTTGTGATGATTATGATAAAAAGGTAATTTAAATAAATTCTTGAAGAAGAAAAACAACATAAAGAGACCAAATAATTATTCTACTTTCTTAAAATAGATAATCGATCTATTTGAATATGATATATCAGATCGTCGTACTTTATCAATATTTGTTGAACAAAAAATCTTTCTTAATGGTATTTATCAATTATTAGCATTTGATAAAGATGGTAATCAATTTTTTTATTATTTTATTTTTTTTTTCATAAAACATCATTATTTTTTATTATTTTTATTGATGATCTTTTAATTTTTGTTCGTTTTTATAATTCTCGATATGAATCTCTTTTGCATTATGGCCATTTTCTATTTTCTCAACAACAATCATTTCGTAAGATAAATCAATTTTTCTGGAAAAATTTTTTTTTTTTAATATTTTCAATCATTTGATTTAATAGAAAAATGTTTAAATGATATAGCACTTCAAATAAAAGTCTCTATATCACCTTCAACAACATTTATTGTTCATCAAGCTGTACCTACACATAATCAAACACATCAATATGAATTAATAAAAGCTTCAACTTATGATTTATCATTAAATCAAGTACTTGATCCATGTTTATCTGGTGTATCAATTATAATACAAATAATTGATATTAATCAAACGAATGATGATTATCCATTAACAACAGCGGAAGATTATTTTCGGTAAATATAAAACAAAATTAAAAAAAAAGAAATTTTTTTAAATAATTTCATTTTTATAGAAATATTGAAAATCGTCAAGAATTTGATGTTTGTAATCGTGATAGTTTACGAAATGAATGTCTATTTAAATTATATCTTCCAATGAAAACAACAGTTAAAGAAGTTATTCGATTAATTTCTGAACGAATTGAATATTCACAACAACAAATTATTTTACAAAAACCATCAACGTAAATTCTTTGTCTTTTTTTGTTTTTATTTATCAAGATTTATTTCAAGAAAAGAGATCACTTACGAAGGAATCTTATCAACTTGAATTCACATCCTATGTATAGGATAACCTTCAACGAAATATTAATCACTGTAAAAAGATAAGGATTCCTGATAGAGCCTTTTCAATGGACTTATGACTCTTTCATTGAAGTTTTTGTCTATAAATAGGTCTATTAATAACTAGAAATATCCAAAAAACGAATATCTTTGCTTCGATATTGAACACTTAGCAAATTAAAGACAAGCTTTCCATATTTTCTTGTAAAGTTATACTTTATCTCTTGCAAATAAATAAAATGATGAGATACAAATCCTTTTTTAATCGTAGACAATCGCAGATGTATATAAATAAAAACAATATCCATGATTATTTGTATGAATGATTTTTTAATGATTCTTTTTTTTTTTGTTTAATTGAAAATGTCTTCTGTATTTATAGTTCAACATCAATATCAAATAATATATCTTCTATCAATTCATTACATATATCATGTGATCAAACATTAAGAGATCTTTATTCAAATACACGTGGTTCTGTTTCATCTCCACGAAAACTCTATTTTAGACGAGTAAAAAGAAAATCAAACATTTTTTTTTTCTTGTTCTTCTTATTATTATTTTGTATTCTAGTTACCTTTTAATTATACGGAACTTGAACATCGTCGTCCGATTCGTATATTTTTTACTAATCCAACAAAAAAAGATGAACAACGTGAAGTACAACTGTATGTTAAAAAATCTTCGACTGTTGCTGAATTTCTTGATGAAGTTAAACAATGGATACCTAGTGTTTGTTCAGAGAATGGTAGTCAACAATTAAGGTAAATTATTAATTAAATAAAAAGCTATTATTTTTGGTTTTGATTAATAGAGAAGTTTTAAAGATATAACTCAGAATAAATGTCATTTGTACGAACTAGAATAATCATCAAAACAATGAAAATATTAGAAAAAATTTTTCTTGCCAAATCATCAAGTTTATTTCATATAAATGAAACCATTAGATTAAATCCATGAACAACTGTTTGAATTCTTTTGAGGTCCAATAACAGTACTTAATATACGTAATAGTAGTAGAATAAAGTTTGACTCTTTAGACATGTCTTACGAGAGTAGGTCCCCGAGTGTAACTCGTCAATCGAAATGATATTTTGCCAAGAACTAGACTCTAACAAGACTACTAGAAATCTATAAGTATTTATCCTATAATTATTACAGTTCTATTCAAATTCTTATCTTTGGCAAAGCATATATGAAAAATCCAAATTACAAAATTTCAACGTGAAATTTTGTTAATAGGCAAATTTCATGAATCATTTCGTACTACTATTTTTGAAAATATCAATTCAATCAATGAGTCACATATGAAGACTTTCCCTCGTTAGTGGTACAGAATGAAATATGTTAGTAACATGAAATCGTCTACATCAATAGTCATATTCAAATGATAAAATTTTTTTTTTTCTTCATCCTTAGATTAATTGAAGTAACATTGTCAAGTCAAATAAATTCTCTTCCATTTCATCTTCATATATGGTCAAGTCGTTCATGTATGGATGAACTTGAAAATTGTTCAAATCGATATTATCATTTAGAAGAAATATCTAATGATGAAATTGATCTTGAAAAAGATAGTGAATTGATACCTGTTGCACATTATACTAAAGTAATTAGATATATATATTTTTTTTTCTTATCATATTTAAATAAAATAAATAATTGAAAATTTATTTAGGAAAATATTATTCAAATAAATATTCAAAAATTTTTTCCATTTCTACTTAAAGTGATACATGTAAGATAAATATATTTTCTATTTAATTAATTAATAAATAATAATAATAATAATAAAATTTATTTTTTTGTAGAATGAATCATTTGGTGATGTTAAACAACGATTACAAACAAAAATGGGTCTTGTTAATAGAGAATTCGAAAAAGTTTGTTCTTTTATTATTTCTTATTTTGTGAAACATGATTTAATATTCGTATCAGAATTAAACAGGAATGAATATAATCTCAATAAATCACTAACGACAACAAATAGTAATCAAGAGAGAAGAATTTTGAACGTATTTTTGTTTGATATTATATGAGACATAATTTCTTTAAAAATTATTTGACTTGTAGAAAATGAATGAAGATAGTGTTCCATTTCAATGTAATTTTGATTGTGACATACGCAACCAAATTACGTCTCTATTCCATTAAATTCGGCTGATTTTTAACAAACTTTCTGATTTTTTTATCAAAACTTCCTTAAAAAAGAACACTGTTTTTATGTATTTTTTGAATATTTTACGAATATAATGGAGTTTAGAATAATTATGTCTTCTAAAGTATCAAACAACAAAGGCATCTGAAGTTTTCCTCTTTCTATTGTTGAAAATCGCAGGTAGATAGCTAGCTGTTGTCGTTGTCGAATGATTAAGATAGCATCCACCCGTCTTTAACTACGACAAAGATATTAGAAGAAGTGTTGAAATTTGCAGGCAGAACTTTAGAATTATCTTAAAAATCTCGAAATATAAAATGTCGACTAAAATAGGTTTTTGACTACAGTAAAACTCTCCATCGTGGACACTTTTGAAAAAGTCTACAAGATGTTCATTATAGGTAGGTCATACAGTAGTTAAAATTTCGAAGAATGTCCTGTCATTCTATTATTACTAAGCTAGTTTTATGTAAATATTCCTACCAATTATGAAGTTTTGTTTCATTTTTCGATCATCTACTATCGAGGGGTGTGCGTTTGTGAAGAGACTATCTAAGTCCATACTCTCTTATTTTTTTCGAACTTTTTACATCAAACAGAAATCTGAATCCATTCTCTCCATAAACTACGATAGACATGACTTGTTATATGATCATAGATCACAACAGGTATCATTCAGAGACCATCGCAAAAGTGACAAACATGTTAGCAACGCCCTTGTTCACCACAATCAATTTTCTGTAACATATTAGTACATGGGAAATTTCAAAAACAAAAACATATGTCAATTACACTAATAGATCTTGTTTTTTTTTTTAGTATCGGTTTTCAATATTTAATGGTAGTAAAGTAATATCACGATGTGATGATAATATGGGAAAGATTAATGTAAATGAATTGAAATTAGTACAAAGTAAAATTTACTTTTAATCTTTCTTTCTTATTTTTTAATGATGTTAACTATCATGCAAATTTTAGGTATATGCTGGCTTGGTTTAGAATTACCATCGATATCAAATCCACGCAAGACTCGAAAATCACTTTTTTCAGAAAAACCGATTCGAATAAACTAGTCGTGTACAATTAATTGTCACTTTACGTTCTTTTTTAGACACATTATTTCTTCTTGATATAGTTCAACAAATGTCAACTTTCTTCTTTGTTTTTCTAAAATGTGTTTCTGTCAATTGACAAAATTTTTTTTTTTTTGTTATTCTTCTCTCTCTTTCTTTCTATTTATAATATAGCGAATGCTCTCATTATTTCTGTTTCTTTTTGCTATTGTGCATATCAATGTATAAATCGTATATATGAGATGCAACCATGAAAAAAGATATCCTTGTTCTTCTCTTTTTTTTTCTTTTGGACACATACATAAGGGATTTTGACTAAATCGTAATACGTTTCACGTCTACTTTTTTTTTTCTTTTGGTTTTGTGATTTTTCTTTACTTTATGTATATGTATGTGTGTGGTTCGATCATATTTTGTTGTCTATATAAAACATAATGAAAGGACAATAGTCCTATTAATAGAAGATAAGAAATAAAAAAATAGAGAGACTTTGAATGGTCATCTCTATGGAATGGTATTATGATTGTTTTGACCATGGTTTATTTGTATCGAGTATATGAGCCATTGATGATAAAGCATCTGATCGATCACCATAGGGTTCAGTATGTATTGATGTCATTGGTGGATTGATTGTTATATCATTTGGAATGTTTTCATTTGCATTAGCAATATTATCATCATCATCATCATTGTCAGATTCTTCATCTAAACCAAGTAAAAAATGTACATGATTTTTTCCATTTGTTAATCTAAGAAATGGTTCATTTTCATCCGAATTATTATTAGTCTTATTTGATGATATTGATGGTATTGATGGTTCACTAAGGACAATAGCTGGCGATGATGTAATACGTTTTTTAAGTTTACTCTTTTCTTGATTTACATGACCATTTACCGTAGTATTTTTTTGTTCAGTTGTTGTATCCGTTAAATTAACTGATTGTCGTACAAGACTAACTGATGAAAGTGTCGAACGAAGTCTTTGTGCTTTATTAATTAAATGTTGATGAACAATATGAGCTAAACGACGTTTTCGTACAGTAAATAAACCTTGTAAAACAATAAGTAATCCAATAATAATTGAATATTGTGTTAAAACAAATAGAAGGCCATGTACAGAATGTTCTAAATGATCATGCATTATATCTTGACATATAAGTATATCTGGCATTTGTGTTGATATATTCATTTGATAATAATAAATACATATAGAATATTTTTCTTTTGGATTTAATCGAAGTACTAATAATGAATTTGAAAAAAATTCATCAGTTCCTGATGGTACTGTTTTTAAAATTAAATGTTCCATTGGAAGTACTTTTTCTATATTTGTTTTATATTGTCGTATAGTAAAAAGAAAATATTTTAATGAATATATTGATTGAAGCGAACGTGCTTGTATAGAAAGTATAGTTGGAAATAGATTTATTTTATGATCATAATGCTTATCAGAAAATGGTTTTTCATTGGATAATTTTGATATTGAAAATAGAGAAAATACTACACGAACAGTTTCTTTATCAATAAATGTCCAATTTGCTTCATAGTGTGGTCCAGAATGAAATTCTTCTGTTTTGTTATCTGATTCTTCCACTAGTTGTTCGGAATAATTATTATCAAAGAATGCTTCTTGTTCAATGACATTATTAGCTTCATTTTCAGATAATATTGATGATGAATTACTTTCTGATATTATGATTAATGGTGCATTTGTATCAAGAATCTAAAAAAGAATATAACTATTTTTTTTGTTTTTATTGTTTATTTTATTTTTTGCTCACTTGTTCGACAGAAGAATTTATATTGATATCGGGTACCGTTCTTGTGGCTATTGTTGTTGTTGTTATGATTCGTTCTAGGACATTGGTTTCGCTTAACGATGTACATAATAGAAATAATAAATGTTTCATAATAAACATCTTCAATATGTAAATATATGTTCTATACTACAATGAATTAAAGATTTAGTATAACTTTTAGGTAAAAATATATGAGTTTCAAACGTTCACACTTGAATTGATGATTACGAACGATTTATTTACAAAATGTAGATTGGTTTGTATCAAACGGACAGCGAAAAAAAAAAAAGTGAAAGGACACCAGAATATATAACGAGTGGGATAGAAAGGAATGAGCGAGAGAATGAATGCGCCCGTCGTGAGATACAATAAGAGAAAAGGAGAAGAAATACTTGATGTGAAGATGCACGCACTAACACTATAACATGCTTTACGTGTCTCTTTCGGAATACAAATGAGGGCAAAGAGGAGCAACTGAGGCTATCGAGTGATTTGATTTTCAAATAAAATGAGAACAATACATCATCGATAGTAAATTGTATGAACATTCGTTATTCATAGCGTTTGATAAATCCTTTTCTAAACAATGGCTCAGACTGAATCGTATTTTCTATCATAAAATATATACTTTATTTTAAATAATTCACTAAAATAGTATGCTATTGATAAAAATAGAGTCTGTAATATGTATAAAATGTGTAGACAACGAACGATAAAATCTTTTTTGATTTCTAGCATTTTATTTTGTATAACTGTTTAGAACAGTCTTTTTTTCATCAAGAAGTTCAAAGAGGAATATCATCTTTATGTAATATAAAAATATTTCCTATAATTTATCTTAATTTATTTTTTGAAATACTTTTTCTATAGTTCTGTGGTTAATTATACCTCATCTATCTTCACGTTAAGTTTTCTTAAGAATATAAAATTTTAATAACGAAAGACAAACTTATTTGATTATATTTTAATTTGGTTTCATTATTTTTTTTTCTTTTTTTTCTGTACAACAAAAATTGCCAATCTATCAAAACAAAAAGAAGTAATCATGGTCCATATTAATATGTCATAGAAAAAAAGAATGTATTCTATGACGAAGTATAATCTATCATTTTTGACTTTTGTATTTGATATACGCGCCTATTCTAAATATAGACAAGTGGCAATAGATAAATAAAAAAACCTATAAACATATTTTTGTTATTTTTTAAACATATTTTCTATAATATCTATATGTAATAAGATGAAAAAATATTTTTTACATAATAATAATAATGCATCATGGAATTCGACACAATTTCCAATATCAAATATTATTGAACAATCTAAATTTTTCAATAACTGTGAAGATGAATCGTCTAATTCATCATGTAATTCTCAAACTTTAGATATGATACGTACAATTGTTGATGAATTATATCAAAGAAATAACGAAGAAAATTTATTAAGAAGTGAACCAAAAGAAAAACGTGTTCGTTTTACTCTTAAACAAGAAACAGATAAAACAGAATCAATTATTTCAAATGAATTGGAAGCAACTGAAACATCAATTAAAAATATTTTCGAAAAAGAAAAATCATCAATCAAATATCAACCAGTTTTATCGGATTCTACGACAGTTGTCTGTTGTTTAATTAAAGGCCGATCAAAAATTGATTGTAGTGTGTCAACAAATGATCTTCCTTCTCTTCAGTGTGAATGTGCTACACAAACCATGGATATAATAGTCTTTCCAGAATGTCAACATTCATTAATGACATTTTTAACACCCAATGATGATCAATCAAGTATTGATCTTCATCAATCGAAAAGTTATATCTCATTATCAACAACATTGATCTCTTCTAAGTATTATTTTAGATTTTCTTTGATAGCTTTATTCATTTTTTTTCTACATACAATGAGAATTAATTTCATTAAATCTCGAAAATAGTATCTTGCACGCGTAAGACTTTTTGCAGGTGGATCCAACTGAAGTCAGTCGACTTTCGACAAATACTTCCACAGGCACTGTACGATTTTAAGTTTTTATATTATATGAAAAAAAACTATATTATTCAGTTCCTTTCATAAATAGCAACAAACTAAATAAGTGATTTAGGATTGACTTGGCGTCTGTCTGCTTCTAAAATCACATTGATTTCACTAAGTATATCGTGGCTTGTCGTTGGAATGGAATGTAACATTGGTGCTGAATATCCTAATTGTGAATACATGCATGAATACTTTCTCCATCTCAATAACACATGTTCACTTTTTTTTGATAATTCATTTTCCTCTTCATGTATTCAGTCACTTAATCGTATGATTCATCATCAACTGTAGATAAATTTTCATTAAAAACGAATTCTTTTAGTAAACCAACATCGATTTTCATTCCTACGCTTTTATACAAACAGCAATTGAATATTGTAAATATATTTTAAGATGAAGTTCCTTTAAAGTAGCAAGTCAAATTTCTTTTCGAAAGCTTTTCATCAAATATATTTTTTTGTCAATTTCGTTATGATGCAAAAGCGATATTAACGGTGTTCTGAATCTAAAGAAATTGTTTTAATCAAAATCTGTTCTGTAATAGTTTAATATACAGGAACTTCTTCTAGTTTAGATTATTTATAGAGTGGCAACCAGTTATCAACCTTCTTCATACTCAACAACAAATTATACTACTTTTGAAAATTCTTCATTTTATACCTGTGAAAATAATAACATAGTATCATCATTAAATACAGCTCATCAATTAATAATACCAACCCAAGCAAAACATTATGATATATGTCAAGAACAAATATCAGATAGTTATAATACACTCATTAATTATACGATTAATGCTTTGAATTCATCATCCAAACTAAAAGAAATAACTAAATTAGACAATGATGATACATTATCGAAATCTAATAGAAAGTTTTCAGATGAAAATATAACAAAAAAAAATGTTAAATTGTGTACATGTTCAAAACGAAAACTATCTGATATTCATATCTCTATGTTAAAATTTGCTTTTTCTAATCAAGATAAATTACTTAAAGAACTACATTTATCGAAACAATCTCTTCAATCAATGTATAATGATGGTCTCTTCTATGTTCATGATCTCGTATTAGTTTTTCTAAGAAATATTTCTCAATTTTATCAAATGCTTGTAAAACGTTATTATTTAACAAAAAAACAAGCCAATTTATTCGTAAAAATCATGAATAAATGGTGGAAAAAGCATCGAACGAAATTTATTGATATAAATGAAAAATTATTAAAAAGTAATATTATCAAGTGATTGATTTAGAGAATTAAATTCTCGCTGCATACTTTTCAAATCACATAATTACAATGCTATTTCATTAGCTATTATGCATAGAAGATAGTCTATTGTTTCAATGAACGTTAAATATATCTAACCAAATAATTATTGTATATTGAACAAAAACCTAGAATGATCATATGTGTAATAATAGATATGACTGAGAATATGTTGACCATGAACACTGAGCACAATTCCATTTTGTTTTCTTGATTTCTGTATTTAGATGATGGATTCGATAAATTTTGATTATGACTACAAATGAAGAATATGATACAAAATAAAGGAATTCTTATGTGAAATTAATTCAAACAAGAGTTTCACATCAGGTTTCTATAAGTTGAAAGCAAAACATGAACTATAATAATAATAATAATAATAATAATAATCAAAATACACTAGTAAGAACGTAACACTCAATACAAAGTTTTTTTGAATTATAGAACGAGATGATTTGGAAACAGCTCTGCAGGATATCCCTAAATCTAGCAAAATACCGTATGTCCCATCTCGTACGACAATATGGAAAAAACCAATATCCCGAATTTTTTTAATCGTTTTACCAATAATTTTTCGTAAACTTTCAAGTTTTTATTTCTAATAAATATTTTAATAATTAAATAAATAACAGAATCAAGCTCCTGTCATAGTTCCTTGTTAGCAGGCAAGATTTGAGATATGATTTCGTTGTTTTTTCATGTGAAATATTAGTTTTTGTTGAATTAAAATTTTGTTTCCGCTTCATTTTATGTGTAATCTTATCATGAAACTAAATGTTGGCAATCAACACAACGATTTTTCAATACTTGAATATTCAACAGAAACATCTATAGTTGGTGTTTGTTTTAAAAGCTTTTTTCTAGTCAACAATGCTTGCTGTCGCATAGAGGAAGTGAAGTTCTACCTTCAACAAAAACAGCTAGAATCCACCTTCATGTATTCACAAATATTCAAGAAAATACTCCTCGATATGAAACATGGTCAAAAAGTCATCAAATATCTGATCACATTTTACCAACAAAAATACCAGAGTAATAGAAAAGAAACAAAAATTATTGAAGAGTTTCAATGCACCTATTGTCCATCGTTGGCTATTCGATAGTATGCACGTGACTGCTTCACTTACATAATGCTCAATCGAGCATTACGAAAACTTATGAAAAGCAAAAGTGGACTTGTATTATTCGATAACTTTTATTTACGAGTAAGAATCTCGAAATATTCCTTACTTTTTGTTAATAGATCTGTAAGAACAACCGGTATGATCGACATTTTTTTAAAATGACAATAGATCCTACTACCTCATCGACTTCCTTTGGTTCCAGATGAGGAGTGGGTTTTTACAAGGAAGAAGAGAAAATCCTCTTCTTCATGCATACAATTTTTCAAATTGATGGCATTCAAAAACTTGACCACAGTATACTCTTTTATCGAGTGGATCTTAAACTTACGTTGGATGACGATCAACAACTCCGACAATTAATCGATCGCATACGAGATGAAGCTGCACGTGAGACTGACTGAGAACAGTTGGGTACATTGTTGTTCAAAATAGATCAATCCGACAAGACCGAAGAAAGGTACACCGCGTTGCTAGAAGAGAATCCAACGACAATGATAAAGTATATATCTATCAACAATTTGGATTGATCAAACAAAATCAAGCACAATACAAATGAGTAGCTACGTTTTACAAAACCTTCTTCGAAATTCACCAAAACACCGTCGAAAGAAAAATGGCAAGTTATTTTCATTACGTTTTCTTCACATAGAAACTGTATATTTCTACTGTAAAATATCACCAATTTTCGTTGGTCAATAAGGATATTTCCTATTTTCAAAACTTTGCTCACTTCATGTATCAAAATGAAATAGACACATTGCTTTTTTTTTGTTTTCTACATCTAGTATATTACCAGTATTCATATTTTCTTCTCACCTTTCAGTCTAAAATACCTAAACATAATATACACTACGTAGAAGAATTTCATTTCGAATTTATAAACATTTCTTTTTTTTTTTTCACGAAACTAATAAAACACAAACAAAGAAAGACACACACGTGAAATGTTTTTGCAAAAAAAGAAAAATACACAATACATTGTCTAAGCAGAAAAAAAAACAGTTTGTTATAATATAGTCAAACGGTCTCATGGAATACTAGAAATTCTTTATTGTAAAAGATCATGTACATCTTTTCAAGAAGGTGATTCCAATTTGACTGATATTCAGAACATTATATAGTTAGTTTGATGCAACAAGAAAAAATGAAAATGAAAAATATTTTTAAGTATCAATCAAGTTCCAGATTAAATAATAGTCATGGCGATAAACTGATCGGCACAATACTTAAGACAAACCCAACTATTATTGAAGAATTTTTACAGTATAATTTTATACTTATCTCAAAAGAGAATATTCGTAAATACATTTATATAGAAGCTTCTATACGATAGAAAGCCTTTATCTTTCTGATGATGACATGCTTTGTTTTTCAATCATGGAAAATTTTGCTTGACTACAGTATTTGATCACTTTCTGTATCAATATTAGATCTCTTGTTATAAGCACTTGAATTTGTTTTCTAGTTATGTTTTTCACTTTTTTTTTATTTGTTACAGGAGCGACATTTATTGATAACTAGTGCTTTTCATATACTTGCACTTAAACAAAACTTTACACTACTATTGTGAATCAGTTATTTTTGTCATTTGTAATGGTGTTGGTGGACTTGATGAATCTTCCATAGTTGCTAATGTTAAATTTTTTTTCCTTCGTGATTCATGAACAAGTAACATTTGTTTAATATCATGTATAGTTGTTGATTTCATTAATTTTTGATTTGATAATTGACGGGAAATACTTGTTGAATGTGTTGTTGAATGTAATGATGAATTATGTAAACGATGTTCTTCATCTTGATCAACAAAAACCGTTGAATGAACAAACCAATGTGGTAATGGTTTTGGTTCATATGGTACTTTTTTATTAGTTAATTTCATTTTTGTTGATAATGGTTGTGTTGCAACTTCAGCTGTTGATTGTGTTGTTTTTGTTGATTTTTTACCTGGTTTTCCAGGACCACGTGATGATGATATAATTGAATCTGTTGTATTACTTGTTTCATCAATATCCATTTGTGAATATTGATCATCATCATCTTTTTCAATAATTATTTGTATATCATGATTTAGTGTAGCTGTACGATCAAATACAGTTGATGCTTGTGAACGATGTGTATTTAATGATATTGTTTCTTTATTAATATGATGATTTATTGTTGATGAATTTCCATTTTGTTGAAAAATATCTTGATCAGTTGAATTTTTCATTTGTTGATCATTGGTCATAATTTCATCAATACGTTTAAGTATTTGAAATAATGGTTGCATTTGTTCATTAAATAAACTCATATTAGCTGTTTGTCTATTTGTTGTTGTTGTTTCATTTATTTCAACATCTTCATGTACATTACCACCACATAATAAACATATTAATGCATTTTGTGTTGAATCATATAATTTTAACATATCTAATTCAGTATATTCTTTTGAACATTGTTCACATTTATAATTTGATTGTGTATATGTTTGTTGTCGCTCTAAATTTTCTACATAACTTTGCATTTTAATTAAACGATATTTAACAACATTAATAAATGTTGTTGTATCAATTTTATAATAATATTGATCTTGATTACGTCGACCAGTTGTACCATCATTTGATTCAAGACGATGATCTTCGATTATAAATTTATCACGTTTAAATTCTTGAATATATGAACGAACTGTTTTAGGATCTAAACATAAACGATCAGCTAAATCTTGTTGTTTTATTCGTTCATGATGAAAAATATATTCAATAACAAGAGATTTTGGAATATCATAAAATGTACGCATTATAAAACGAATTAATGCTTTGAGTATTGCTCGTGGATCGTTGGTATCATAGGTTGGAAGAGGTATGTCATTTGATGAAGGTGCTACAATATTTGTAGACGAAGGATTTGTTTGTGGATTAGGTCGTATCGGTTGTTGAGGGAGAGAAGGATTAAGATTTGTAAATGAACCACCACCAGCTGATATCGACGACATGTCGTTTTTTATTGTATTTAAATCGGCAAAGACCATAATCGAAAAAAAGAAAATGTGGCTGAATCTATGATTAATAGAAAAAAAAATGTCAATAGGAGTTATTTCTGTTTCTAAATTGTATATAATTAAGAGAAAAACTCTTAGCTTTATATCTTAGTTAGAAACATAAGTTAGACTACTTATAGATTCCATCTTGAAACCAGTTAATACAATCTCTGTGAAACTAAAATTCGAAACACAACGTGATTGATGTTGCTAGTCACCAGTAGATTGTTTTATTCTATCTGTCTTCAGCCATCCTGTTTACTTAATCATCCAGAAAATGCAATAAGAAAGTAGTTCATATATTTTAGCCAGATGTGATTGATATATGACCTTTGATCTAACCTCAATAATATCTATCACGGTACGTAGAGATGGGGGAGGGTGAATCCAAATTTTTATTTTTATACTTCAACACTCCTTTTAGATCGTGTTTTGTAAAAGACTAAAGTCAATGGTGAATAGCATATCTGATATTCAGAAATATTCTACGTTGTTATTGAAAACAATTCTACTTCTTTGATGTTATTAAAACAAAATGACTCAAATAAGATCTGTAAATCGATTTCTCTATATTTTGACTTTAAAAAAAAATCTCTTTTATATCCTTGTTCAAAATATTTTAATCCTTGGCCAAAAGTAAAAGTGAAAATGATTTATATTTTGACAGAAACGATTGCATTAGAATAATAGTGATTATAGTTCAGTTAAAATGGATTTTCTTCTGAAACACGATCTAAAACGAGTGTTGAAACATAGAAGTAGAATTTGGGACCTGTTTTCCTTTCTCTTTGCCATGAATCGAATATTAATAACCTCTCGTTATAATATACAAACTAC